AGTTACCAACTACGCTGGGAAGTAAATACTACATCATCGGATCAAGCCAGTACACGATGCGCTAGCAGACCGCAGAAAACACGAACATTTGAAACAAAACGAACCAATTAGGCAGGACCGACTCCTCGGGAGCACAAAACGTAGTTCTTTAATCTGATATGCCCGAGCACTAAACCGAAACCAAAAGGGACGATGGAATAAACGACAGAGGATTCCAGAAATCCATACTGCAGGGAGCTGGGATTAAATGGGGATAAGTTATGTCAATCGGGTCAGAAACTTTGTTCATAGGGCATTGAATCGAAGGCGTAAACAGGGAAATCGTCCCTGTCGAATAAACTGCGGTTGCAAAGGCACAGTTTAACATGCAACAAGGTATGGTCGGTGGAATCCTAGTTAAGTTCCAGAAATTAATTAAATACTCGTATGTTTTTCCAACGAGGTAACGCCCTATAAATAAACACAGAAAGTTACTTATATTTATTACTTGCTTATAGTTTATTGGGTGTGAAAAATTTGGACATTATTTTAACTTTTTACTTCATAATTTGTGGGTTTCTTAATATTCTTGAAAATAAATTGGTGGTTAGGAGGTCGTCTACTTTAACTTACCTGTGATCCAACTTACCGCTCACGCCGCGCACATCATCAATTTATATGCGCTACATCTTTATGTCCCTTTATTTTATTTGGTTTTCTTACCTTATATATATTGCATCTCACTTTTCAGTTTAGTTTAAAGTTTATGATTATGTTCACTTTGTTTTTAGTTTTCGATCACTTTGAAGTAAAGTCAGTTTAGCTTACTTTAGCTTGTGTGTTTTAATGAGCTGATTTTTAGGTTAAGTTAGTTTTTATTTACTTTAGTTATTTCCCAATATTTGCATAAATACACATTTAAATTATGGCACTCTTAGCTGTTGACAAACACTAGGGCATTAAAAAAATTATTCCTGCTTTTTCTACTTTTATAAATTTTGTATTGTATTAATATTACCTTTTTATTGCCCCAACTGCATACTATTTATTTTATCCGGTTCTTTGTTACAGAATGATTGGGTTTTCGCGTGCTGATCTGTTACCTAAAATATATGATTACACTTGATCGGGCTGAATTCTGACGATTACACTAGAGGTCGATTCACAGGCAGGCGCGTTAACGAATAGGCCAAAGAAAACAATTGCAACTTAAATGCAAACAATAAACGACTTAATACCAAGAACATGCGATAGTATTTTTCATGTCCAAAAACATTTTCTAAATATTTCTGTAAGAAAACAAAGCATAAAAAATATAAATACTGAGAAGAAGAAGATTCGATCGAGTCTTCTTCTTCTCAATTGCTTCCTGGGACACGGATGTTCGCTTGTATTGGCAATATAAATACTCAAAAATGATTTAATTTTTGACTGTACGACGAAACAGTCGATAGCAAAGTAATACACAAGTCCGATTTTATCTCTTCGTTTTTCGATGCAAATATCCCATATGGCTTACGGAAAGTGCACAATGCCTTCAACTTCGCAAAACCTTTGCAAATTAAAAGGTTTAAAGTTTGCGGGATGCGGTTAAGGCACAGTTGCTACGCCTAATGCATGCTCTCGTGTTGAGTGAGTGATGAGCATTCCCTAGGAAAACGAAAATACGAAACACGTTAGTTAGGACAGATTGTCATGGGTTGTAGCTTTTGTAGCAGAAAACGAAGATACGAAAGAGACTTCGTCACTTTCTTTAGCCTATTTCATCCCTCCAGCAAAATGATATTTTAAATTCACATCAACCTTCATGTTTGTCGTTCAGTAGGGAGCAAATGAGCTCTCAGTGACATGTACTCATGTGTTATCGATTTTAACGTTATCCCTAGCGCTCAGGCCCTATGTAAGTATCGCCCTTGTGTTCCTTTGGCATGTAAGTAATTTTTTGTTCTTTAGTACTTGGTTTGTCGCGTGTCCTGGCAATGGCTCCAGATTTCGTGGGATAATGATGCAGTCTGGAGTGTCTGGCTGATTAAATGCTCCCTACTAATTTGGCGCTTGCATCGTGGCTACTATACAAATTAAAGTGAGACGTCCGGCAGTAACCAAGGAGATAGATATTAAGGGAAGGACGGAGTAACGCAAATACCAAATGAGGTGGACAAGAAAGTAACTACCGTCAGCACATCAACCATTGCAAGAAGTTACAGCAAAAAGCTCTGCATAGCCCGGAAACGTTATCGAGCTTTCCAGCCTACAGATGACTCAGGATCTCATTCGCTCACTCGAGTGCACAGAAGTTTTCAAGGTTACTAGAACCTCTTTTCTGAGATTTTCTACCAAGCGGTATTATAGAGGGAGGTAATATAAATTCATTAAGGAATTTCTGTGAAATGGTTGCAAAACCACTAATAAAGGGTCTCAGTCAGCTTGTCAAATTAGTTCGTTTGTCCAGTTAAAACAATACTATTTTTGAAAAGAAGAAGATGCGATCACTGGGACAACACTTTTATGCGCCTGACGTTTCGACATTCATCGCGGAATCTTCATCAGAGACATAAACCGAAATCAGTAGAAAAACAGGTAACATATGTGCTCACGTTCAAGAAACGTCTCAACAGCCTCTTCCCGGACATAAAATTTATGATGGAGGAGGAAGAGAACAACCAGATTGCCTTTCTTGATGTCCTCGTCTATCGCAGACATTGTGGTAGCATAAAGAAAGCAACAAACACGATGCGAGTATTGAATTACAACAGCAACCACCAAATCGGCCACAAACGAAGTCGCGTAATGACGCCTTATCGGCGTGTTGGGACGGAATACAGTGAACTAGAAGACAAAGTTGCCAAATTACAATACCTTCGACGGGTGTTCAGGGAAAATATCCACCCGCGCAACTTCGTCAACCGCTGCTTATGCAAATGAAATGGCCAACAAAATCGTACCAACTCCAAAATTTGGCGAGCAATCCCGTACGCCAAAAACATTTTGGAGATTGTCGGCCGCCTTCTCGCACCACTTGGAGTTAGAGTCGCACACAGGCCGGAAGCAACCATAAGACTTCGGATCATGAAACCGAAAGACCCACTGCCACGGCAAGAAACATCTGGAGTCGTCTATAAGATCTGATGCAGTTGCGGCAAAGGCAACTATGTCGGAGAAACTGGCAGACTTCTCAAGACGCGAATTGCCGAACACGCAGCAGCAGTGCAGCAGAAATGCGGCGAAATGATGCCAACCCTCAAGTTGCGGCTTACTCGACGAAATCCAGCCACACATTCAAATTGTATGAGGCCGAAATTCTCGCAAGAGGTGACAATCGGGTGAGCCAAGATTTACTTAAATCATAGTTCAATCTATAAAAAGTGCGACAATTTGCGCAACCCATATTCGGTGCTGAGACTCAATTTGGCCAAAGCAAGTGGCCACTTGGGAAACGCACAGGCCTCCGCGTTGTCTCACACCAACACCAGAGAGCCAGATGGCCGAGCAACCATCATGCCCGAGTACGCCACGCGTGATGAAATTTCAGCAAGTCAGAGCCGGCATGCCGGTCAACAAGCTATCAACGCACAAGAAGGCAATTATCGTTAATTGTCATCATACGTTTGCAGTAATGACTGTGTCCTTTAAATACTGCAAATTTCTGTAGTGTGTACGCCTCTATGTCATTGAAGATTTGGTTTGCCTTGCTGACGTAGTCGGTCTTATCTATGACGACAGTTGCGCCACCTTTGTCAGCAGGCACAACTCTTATACTGTCATCAGTCTTCAGTGAGAGCAATCCTTTTTCCTCCTCAATAGCTACGGTTAAATGGTATTTTTTTTGGCGTAAGAGACCTGTTGCGCAACTGCGTATGCCCGCATGCATACCGCCAGGGACGGTGGAGGCCAATAGCAGAGACTCGAATTTGGCTAAGAAGAAGCGACCACTGGAACAAGAGTTTTATTGTCCTGACGTTTCAGATTCCCTCGGGAATTCTTAATCATAGGTAATAGTAGAACAGTCTGAGACATGCGCAGATAAGGGTGATACATGCACAAATTACACGGTATTTATAGTTCGTAGCGGTCTTCCGCATGCGTACTATAATTGACAATTCCTGTAGCCACCGCTTGAAGTCTTAATTGGTGCGATGATGGCTCATTAATTGCCACAATGTTCTCAATTGCTTCCTGGGAC